AAGTGATTTCAAAACATTTCAGCCGGTTTATATATATCGTGTATATATTATTTATCTTGCATAAGATGCATTTGGTTGAGTCGAGCGCTTCATTGTAGTACTACGGTGATTATCTCTTCAGCGCGAGCAGGACAAACAACAATGCAGAATATTCATAACTATGACTGGGACTGTCATACACATAACAATTATAATGAGAACACTATTATAATAAAACGCTGTGAATTTTTAGAGTTTAGTTGCCGTGTTTCTGCACGTTGTTGCGTGAAGAACGCGTCCACAAAAGGAGTTCATTCAGAGCCACAGACACGTTCATGTACATTCGGAGCATTTTGTGCAGGTAGCCTATAAGTCGTAATATTAACGTTATGTTGTATAAATAACTAAGCGTATTCTATATGAGATAAATGATGAGTTAAATCCCAGCTGCTTCACTCTACTGGTCATCTTCAGCGCGAGCAGCTCAAAACAGAAATGCAGAACATTAATAACTACTGTCATATACATAACGTTATAATGAGAGCACTGCTGTAAAAAATGTGAATTTTTAGGGTTTCGCTGACGTTTAATGTTAACTATCTTTTAATCGAAACATAAAACATTATTTACCCCGTTTGTATCTGCGAGGCGTCCTTACACATTTTCCCTGTGTGTTAACGTAATTATGACTGAATGTCTGACTTGACTCTTGTTAATGTATTTTGCCCCGCCCCCAAAACATATGATTCGACTATCAGTCAACTATCGGCAAGATTCGAAAATTCAGATTCGACTATGAAAATCCTTAGTCGGGGACACCCCTAGAGTTGTGACATGCCAAAGACTAAACCCCAAGACCTTTGAGTTCTCAGTTTAGGTAAAAGCCCTTGGAAGGGAGCGAGTGCATCATTCAGACGGGTTCATGCTAGGGCTGGGCGATAAACCCTATCTTATCGAGGTCATGATAAAACGATGAAAAGCTCTCGATGTTTTTGCTGGATCTGGATCAGTGCATGTCTCTAATAACCTGCAAGAACTTCATCTCCAGAGCTGCTCTGCAGCTTTACAGCGTTTACTTTGAGGAAAACTACAGTGATGGGCGCTTTTAAACTCTGCTTCATGAAGCTGCGAAACCTTTGCGAATCGTTTGTTTCGCACCAGTGATTCGGAGCGTGTATCAAACCGCCAAAGTCACATGATTTCAGGAAATGAGGCTTCAGCGTGTCTATGGTTTTTGCCTGATCTTGGATCAGTTTTATAAATTTGCAGACATTTGTTTTAATGTCATTAATGAGACATTTGGGACAGTGGACCACAAATCCAGTCATAAGGGTAAATTTTTCGAAATTGAGATTTATACATCACCTGAAAGCTGAATAAATAATCTTTCCATTGATGTATGGTTTGTTAGGATAGGACAATATTTGGCCGAGATACAACTATTTGAAAATCTGGAATCTGAGGGTGCAAAAAATCTAAAAATTGAGAAAATCATCTTTAAAGTTGTTCAAATGAAGTTCTTAGCAATGCATATTACTAATCAAAAATTAAGTTTTTATATATTTACAGTAGGAAATTTACAAAATATCTTCATGGAACATGATCTTTACTTAATATCCTAATGATTTTTGGCATAAAAGAAAAGTCTATAATTTTGACCCATACAATGTATTGTTGGCTATTGCTACAAATATACCCCAGCGACTTCAGACTGCTTTTGTGCTCCAAAAGAGGAATGCTAGTTAGCTGAACCATCCATAGAACAAACAAATAAAAGAACACATATTATACAGACACGTCATATTTAATGGTATTAGATGGTTAATATACTTTAAATAGAACTTTTGCAGTGGGTTTGTAGAAGCTTACACAGTTCTGAGCAGCGTGAGGAGTTGTGTGCGATTCGAAATCGTGAATCGTTTTGCGAAGCAATTGGTTCAGTTGCTTCAATGCTTCTAAAAGGGTTGGTTCAGTTGCTTCAATGCTTCTAAAAGGGTTGGTTCAGTTGCTTCAATGCTTCTAAAAGGGTTGGTTCAGTTGCTTCAATGCTTCTAAAAGGGTTGGTTCAGTTGCTTCAATGCTTCTAAAAGGGTTGGTTCAGTTGCTTCAATGCTTCTAAAAGGGTTGGTTCAGTTGCTTCAATGCTTCTAAAAGGGTTGGTTCAGTTGCTTCAATGCTTCTAAAAGGGTTGGTTCAGTTGCTTCAATGCTTCTAAAAGGGTTGGTTCAGTTGCTTCAATGCTTCTAAAAGGGTTGGTTCAGTTGCTTCAATGCTTCTAAAAGGGTTGGTTCAGTTGCTTCAATGCTTCTAAAAGGGTTGGTTCAGTTGCTTCAATGCTTCTAAAAGGGTTGGTTCAGTTGCTTCAATGCTTCTAAAAGGGTTGGTTCAGTTGCTTCAATGCTTCTAAAAGGGTTGGTTCAGTTGCTTCAATGCTTCTAAAAGGGTTGGTTCAGTTGCTTCAATGCTTCTAAAAGGGTTGGTTCAGTTGCTTCAATGCTTCTAAAAGGGTTGGTTCAGTTGCTTCAATGCTTCTAAAAGGGTTGGTTCAGTTGCTTCAATGCTTCTAAAAGGGTTGGTTCAGTTGCTTCAATGCTTCTAAAAGGGTTGGTTCAGTTGCTTCAATGCTTCTAAAAGGGTTGGTTCAGTTGCTTCAATGCTTCTAAAAGGGTTGGTTCAGTTGCTTCAATGCTTCTAAAAGGGTTGGTTCAGTTGCTTCAATGCTTCTAAAAGGGTTGGTTCAGTTGCTTCAATGCTTCTAAAAGGGTTGGTTCAGTTGCTTCAATGCTTCTAAAAGGGTTGGTTCAGTTGCTTCAATGCTTCTAAAAGGGTTGGTTCAGTTGCTTCAATGCTTCTAAAAGGGTTGGTTCAGTTGCTTCAATGCTTCTAAAAGGTTTGGTTCCGTTGCTTCAGTGCTTCTACAAGGTTTGGTTCAGTTGCTTCAGTGCTTCTAAAAGGTTTGTTCCTCTAATCACGAATCACATGAAACATACTGAAACTCGAAGATCTTCACTGCGAACCACCAAAATAAAAGTTTGGTTTAACTTAATATTCTGACGGAAATATATTACTATTGTACACTAAAATGAACTTCTCAAAGCTATTATTAATTAACGAACATTATACAATCAAGATATTTACTCGATTTAATTCATACTGTTCTGTTGTGCAGCGTCTCATTTGACAAAAAATAAAAATGCAATGTTTTTTTTTGTAAATGAGTTGTTATATTTTCATTTGTTTAGCGTTTTAAAAAATGTATTAAATTGTTAGTTTTATTAATTCATATCATTACACACCATTTTTTATGATAAATTTGTATAAAATTATAAAACACAGAATCCAGAAAAAAATCAAATGGAAAAATTAATGGCTCTAGATGAAAGCAATCTTAGTTAAATTGTGAACAAACAATGTTTCATTCATTCTGAAGGTCTAACACACGTGGAAGCGTTCGACATTGTTTGATATGCAATAAAATATCGTAATGTTTTGGTCATATCGCCCAGCTCTAGTTCTTGCATTATTTTCTGCCGTTGTGCATGTGATCCTCAGCTGAATGTTCATCAGACGAGCGTCTCACGGACTCGAGGGCATTTCTACATTCATATTTCACACAGATGCACGGGTCACGGCACGTGTCTGCGGGTTTGTGTTTGTTGGTGGCTCACCTGGAACTTCTGAACACTTTTTGTTGCAGTCACTGGTTTAAATGCGATGGAAAGGCTGGGATTTTTTGTTTGGGTTTCTTATTTAAGGTCTTAAATCGGAGCAGGAAGTCTTAAACTCGTGGCATTAAATGTTGCATGCACTGCAAAAAAATGAATCTCTTCCTCGGTATGTTTGTCCTGTTTCTCAATGCAAAAATCTAATCATCCTTAAATCAAGATACATTTACTGGAGATGCAAAAGAAACTTATGAAGCCTGTGAAATTGATCCAAATTGAGTTTATGCTTAAAACAAGAACAAATAGCCGTCAATGCGGTATGAAAACTTGGCATTATTTATTTTTTGACCCCATTGACAGATTGCATTGATGTAATCAAGCTTGCTTCATTTTGATCAGTTTCACAGAAAACACCACATAATGTCATTTTGCATCTCCAGTAAATCTGTCTTGATTTAAGAAAGTGTAGATATCTGCTCTGGAAAACACAGGACATCTCTTTTTTTTTTTTTTGGTAAAATGAATTAAAACGTAATGGAGACGTGCTAAAAGCTGTATTTTCAAACTAACTTACAGTGCATTGCATGCAATAAATTACATGCATGTCCCTAGACATCTACACTTACGCTTCTTAAAGTTTGACATTGACCTTCATAAGCCGTTTGATGTACATGCTCTCGGAGATCATTTCTAATGTCTCTCTGTTTGCGTCTCCAGAGTCTGAAGGAAGGTTTGACGGCGGAGCAGAGACTTCAGCTGCTCGACAACAAGGACACGAAGGACTTCTGACACGGCCTCGCTGCATGCTAATTAAGAGTATTTTAGCCCAGTAATTAATCACTTAGAGACACACTGGTCATATATTAAACATGGTATGAAGTTTGAGTTTTATGTCTATAGTCATGCACTTCAGTTACTGTGACGTTGTTGGTTTGTTTGCATTGTCTTAATGTAAATACGTTGTTTTTAATGAAGCATCTATCATGCGTACACTAAACACGACTGTGTAAGCTACTGTTTTAGTTTGTGTGAGTGTTTCTCGACACTACAGACTGCTCGCGTGTGACGCTAGATGAGCTCGGTTTGCACATTCCCTCCGGCTCTTAATTTAAAACAGCTGCATTTAATCGAGGCTTGCATCATCACCCGCTGACCTTCTGCGGCGTCTCCGGATGCTCGAAACAAAGGAGCATTTCTGATGACCGTAAACCACACGGGAACAGACCTGGGAGGGTCGACAGAATATTAACAAGTTTATATAAGCTTGCCGTTATAATTAATGGGAGTTTTGGTGTTTTTTGAGCTGATGAAGTCTGTGGTGTCGTTCAGTGGCAGTCCTTTGTATTTATTTAAATGTTATGAATTTTTTGTCTCACATTTCCATTAGTCTATACATTATTGTAAATATACCGCAAATGTACACGAACTGAAAACAGGTTTATTAGCAATAAATATTTTTGCACCCACTTTTGCATGGATTAGTCTCATTTATTTATTTATATCGCAGGCTTTCTTAAATCAGAGTCGTGGCATTAAATGTTGCATGCATTGCTAAAAATGAGAATCTTCAGTATTTTATTTTATTTTTTTCAAATTTCAAAGTTTTCAAAAATCGATAGATTTGCTGGAGATGCAAAACGAAGGAAGTCTTGCTTTCTGACAAATTCAACTAAATAAAGTGAGTTTGAGCAAATATCCGTCAAAGGGGAATACATTTACTTTTTTTTCCGTTTGAATTAAGTTTTGCAAATTAAAGTTTTTTTGTTTGTTTGTTTGTTTTTCTGAGCCCATTGGCATATATTTGTTCGTTTTAATCATAAACTCATTTCACATTTCTCATAAACAATCATCAAACAGTCATTTTGCTTCTCCAGTAAATATATCTTGATTTAAGAATCTTTAGACGAAAATCTAGATGTTCACTGTTGCATTGCTATCAGAAGCGACAGTAAATGTTGTTTCGATATTCTAGTGATTGGAAGAAGTTTTTATTATTTATTTATTGTAAAATTAATTAAAAGTAATGGAAATCTTTTGGAAGCTGGATGCTCTTTATAATACAAGACATTTACATTTAGAGTACATATGGACATTGTGTTCCATTACATTTATTCCTTACTTGGTCTTGAAAAGGTCTTACATTTAATTTCATAAAACCTGCAGAAACCCTGTATTTAGTGTCATTTTTTTATATTATTACAAGTCATGTATTTATAAATTAAGTTATATCAAAAATAAGGCTAATTTATTACATGATGTGCTGATTTATTAATCGAATTAATTGCACATTAATTAGTTTTTTTTACATTTAAAATAAATTATTAAATAATTTATAATAAGCATTTATATTTTCAATAAAATAAAAAAAATATTTGCACTGATTTTCCAAACCAGGTAGCAGAAAACTTTTAAAATTATGCTTTCCAGACCTTGAAAATGCTTGCAATTGTTTAGTAAGTCTTAGAAGTGTACACTTGCAGTCGTGTGAGCGCTGAGCTGAGAACGCTCGGAGATGCGTCACAACGCTTTGCTTTAGATGAACATTCTGTTCCGCGCGACACACTTCAGTGGACTGACTACAAGTCCCAGAATGCAGCGCGGCGACAGCAGAGAAGCAGAGTTCAGTCCGAACCGCGCTCTTCAGACACGCGACACACGCGGCGACACCTGGAGCGCGTTCCGTTCCGGCGGCACGGAGTCTGCGATGGCTTCGTGAATGAACGCGTCGCGTCGCGTCGCTCCGGTGAGTCCGCGCTCTTTCTTCGTTTAGCTCGGCTGCTAACGGGAGCTCGCGGAGCTTCATTAATCTCTCATTAATTGCGCTGCGTAATTGGGTTCATAACGACATGCATTTGCTGGACGCGTCGGTGAGCGTTGTTTATTGTCGTCGGGATGTGCATTGCTAACACGCCGCTATGCTAACGTTAGCATAACAAACGCAGCTCAGTTAAAGCGAAGCAGGACTAAACCTGCTCTGCAGATGTTTCACACTCCTGGTGTTATCCAGACCATAATCACATATATTCTGAAGCGCAAAAGACAAAGATAAAATATTACAATTCCGGGTTCATGCGCTAATAAATCCGTTAAAGCGCTGAAACATGAATGCAGACAATAAAACAGATTGTTTTTGGCATTAATGAAGGCCTCTTCATGAGTTTTACACCAAATACAGGAATACAGACGTGATTTATAAAGTATCCCGACACCAAGCTGAAGTTCAGCAAATACCGCGGTATCCGTTGCAGTACTGCTGTGAAATACCGTGGTAAGTTACATATTAACTGTTTATATTAAAATACTATGCTGTATGAATTTAGTAATTGTTCATTACTCTGGTAAATACTGGTATTCAGTAAACAGATCGAAAAAGCACAACATTTTTAATAATGAAGTGTACTAGGCCTATATAATTTGTTTCAGTAGTGTTTATATCCTTTAATATTTTGCATTTAGAGGGTATTTCATAAAGCTACACGGCGTTCTTTTCCAAATTGGCACCATTTTTTCCTTTATAAAATAGGAAAATATTTCATATTATTTTCAATTAATAAGTTATATATGTATATATATATATCTCAAAGACTTCATTGTGGCTGATTTGTAGATTGTACCTCCAAAAATTAGGTTTTGTATTTTCATATTTCTTATTCATTTCCAGTGCTGGTCATTTTTGACCGTGAAGATCACAAGTGTGACAATAAAGACCATTTTGTCTTTTTTTTTGTTCAATCATGCTCACAACTTTTAATTAATTTATCACTATTATTATTATTATATTTATTTTTTGTTCATAGAGCAGGTGCCTCAAAAGTCAAAATACATCAGTATTAATAAAGTGGTTCAAAATTAAAATTAAGTTGTGGTGATAATTTACAGGAACATTAACATCATATTCAGCATTTTCAAATCCAATTTGAAGACCTTTTTCTATTGTTTGGCATATGACCAGCTTTTATTATCTTTTATTATTTAATTTTTCATTTTATTATTATTATTATCTGTTTTTATTTTAGCTTTTGCATTTTTGTCAACTTTATTATGTCTTATTAAATATGTATTTTTCTGTCAAAGCACATCAGTCATCTTGCAGTCAGCATTGGTTTTAATGGTGTTTAAAAATGTAATTCTTCTTCCCGAATGTGAGTCAATGGCAGCCCTATGAACGGAAAATGATGAAATTTGGCACAATTGTAGTGATGGTCATGAATAGTGATTTGACCAATTTTGGAGTCTCTAGGACCAACTCTATAGCGCCACCACCTGTTCAAAAATGCAACATTGAAATGGTTATAACTTTTGAACCCTTTGTTTCTAGAAAAATTAAACTTAGTGCACCTGATTACTCTCCTCGTGCTGATAACATTCAATAGCTTACATTAAGACTCTGCCCATTATAGTAGTGGCCATTATGAAAAGCCGCAGAGAAATGACTGAACAGTTTTTTTTAAATTCATCTTTGTTCCAAAGTTATGATGTTGTGAACTTAAGGTTGACCCGAAATTGGCTCAGTGGCTGTATCTCAGTCAAACTTTAATCAATCGAAATGAAAATTGGTGCGCTTCGTCAGAACCATGATTTAAAGGTACATGCCAAATTTGGCAACAGCACCACCTACAGGTAATTAGCTGTTTAAAATTGCTCTTTTTGCTAATTACATTTGAACAGTTAGTCAGAATCGTGGTCTTGGTGTCTATGGATTCCTTTTATCATGCTGAATCCGAGCATACCGATCCAACTAACCATCAGGCCACCATTTTGTAATTAGTCATAAATTGCAATATCTCATGAACAATATGAAAAGTTAGCACAAAAATTGGTAGAGATCATCGACAGCATGTCCCGGAGGCACCTGAGAAGTTTGAACACAGCGCCACCTAGTGTTCCAGAGATATAAGGATTTTTGCAAAAACGCTTATGTTTGAAAACATTGTCCAAATGTAACTCTCTCTGTACCAATACATTCCTTGGCTTATGCTAATTTTTGACAATGTCTCATTTTTAATTTTCCTTCATTTTGTTTGTCCGACATTTAAACGTAAATGAAAAAAAAAAGGTTTTCCGCTGCTACTCCTGTAAATTTTGTCAAATTTTGACTGAAAAAATGACTGAACGGATTTTTGATATTTGGTACCGTTCCTGAGAAATACCTTTCCGAAGTTGTCCGTGTTTTTGACTTATGCTAGTTAGCTTAGTGTGTTAATTGGTTAGCATGCTAGCCACTTGCCATTCTTTCTAATGAGCAGTTAAACGTAAACTACATTAGCATTAAGTTAGCTTAGCTTGCTAATCTGGTCAACATGCTAAGTAACGCTTAGTGTGCTCATTCTCACACTGAAAGCTCTCCTCAGCAGCCTGTTGAATGTGCACCGACTGAGTGGCGCACACTGCTAAGCCACAGACCCCGAAGCTTCCAGGATGGGGGTTAGAATCCATTGTGGCACATAACATGCAGTGCATGTATATAGAAAAACTTAGAGTTTTGTGCCTTTGAGATGCACAGTGTAGAGCTTTTGACTCTTCAGTGTGATGTGCTCTGATGAGATTGCAGTGCTTACACTTGCAGTGGTTGCTATGCTTGCTGCACCTTTGGTGCTTGGCCCTGTATCGCTGCTAGCAGCTATATTTATTTAATTTTTATTGTCAAAGCACATCGGTGAAGTTGCATTGCATTTAATGATACTATAAAAACAAAATTGACCTTCGTGTTTCTACTCTCAGTTGATATGGAAGAGCCTCCCAGCGACTCAGATGGTTTACAGCCTCAGGATCTGTCGGCCGTCTGCAGCCTCCCCAACATCTTCGATCTGACGCGCAACGCTGAGGAATGCCTTCTGAAAGCCAACCCCATCGACGCCTTGCGTGTCGTCCAGACGCCGGGCTGGTTCGTCAATCCCGGGACCAGCAATGGGATGTTGCTTCCAGAAACCGACTCTGATCCGCTGCCGCTCCCCACAGACCAGATCCAACCGGATAATACGTTTTCCAACACGACCGTCACACTCTCCTACGTGAGCCGGTCACACGTCTTCTCAGAGCATTCTCCGATTTACGACGTTCCTTCCTTGAGCAAGGCGTTTGTGCTGCATCCCGCTGCATATGATGCCGAAAAGCTGGCGAGGGATGCAGGAGATGCGGCGCTTTCGGTGGACCAACACTGTCTCCAGCCGGTGTCCGTGCCGGTTGGACTGACGGCCTGTGATCAGTTCGGCTTCATGACGCCGGCTCAGGTCGTGGAGAACGTGGCGGCGTTCTGCTACCTTCAGCAACCTCCGGATGTGCAAGATGTGGAAAACCTTGCTTTGGAAACGCTCAAATCTTTACAAGCCGATCCCAGCGAGTGCAGGTTCCCCATCAGCGTGGACGATCTCCAAAACGGAGCTGCGAATGGCCTGTGGAACGTCGGACCCTTCGAGGGAGGATTTCCGGACGAAGATGGCACGAACGCTGACGGTTTGTACC